CGGGGGCCGGACGAAGCCCCACACCGGAAGTTCCGGCGGGCGTCCAGCGCTTCCTCCTGTCGCTAGGCTGCGGGAACGGTCAGTTAGGTCAGGCGAGAGGCCGCAGGTCAAGTCCCCAGACGGAGATGGCTGGCCGAGGGCCGAGCCAGAGGCGAACACCACCAAGTCTCATTTCTGCGCGTGCTCAGTTTTCTGCGCATGCTCTGTCAGTTTTCTGCGCATGCTCTGTCAGTTTTCTGCGCATGCTCTGTCAGTTTTCTGCGCATGCTGTGTCCTGCGCATGCTCTGTCACTGCTTTCTGCGCACACCCTGTCAGTTTTCTGCGCATGCCCGGTCAGGAAGAGGCAAAGGGCTTGGGTGGGACATGGGCTTTGCCCCCTGCAGACCATACCCACCGCCAAGCAGGCAGAGGGTGGTGACGGGCTCACACCCTCTAGGTCAGGGGTCGCTCAGAAGACGTCCCACTTTAACCCCGTCCATTAGTATAATGGGATTCTAACCAGAGGAGTCTTTACCAGAGTGGGTTCCGACTCACGGCGGCCCCGGGGGGACAGGGCAGAGCCGCCCCTGCGGGTTTCCGAGGCGGCGACTCTTCAGGGGAGCAGCCTCCTCCCTGTCCCTCGGAAAGCCTGCTGGTTTCACACCGCCGACCTTGTGACTAGCAGCCCGAGGCTTAACCCTGTGCGCCGCCAAGGCTCACCACCGGCGGAGAGGCTGGAGTTTCTGCTCCCGTAAAGATTTACAGCCTCCAAAACTCACAGGGGCACTTCTACGCTGGGTCACTACGAGTCAGATTTAACTCGACGGCAATGAGTTTGGTTTTAGTTTGTCTGCTAAGGTCCTATTTCCAAGACAGGCTGGAGTCTGCGGCCCTGGATGACCGTGGATCTGGATACCCTTGACCCCAATACCCAGGGGAAGTCTCTGAGTCAAACCCAGCTCTCCCCAACCTAACTGCTCTCTGCATCCCTCACACGTTGGCAGGGAGGCAACCCTGGGTGCCTACACCCTGCTCAGCCTCCTGTGTACCTCTGGGGGCTAGTCCAGGTGTCCTGGAGCAGGGACTGAATTTCTGGGGGGCCCAACAGAGAATGGAGCCTTCCCAGAACCTTCCCCAAAGCCCCCCACCAGAACACATCTCACCATGGGATTCCCCAGCACACACCTCACCATGCCCCCCTCTCGCGCACCCCCGGACACACATACCTTACCGGAGGGCTCCAGGCATACATCTCACCATGGGGACCCTCACTGTAGAGGGCCCTTCCCCCCTGGTATTCACTGGTCAAGCTGGTGCACCAGGCAGGGCACTCCAGCCACTTTGCAGGGACACAGCCTAGTGGGTCCCTCAGAGAGCCCCAATGTGCTGGGACCACAAGGTGGCTGCTGAACCCATGCAGGTCTGCCGGAGCCAGGCTAGGCGGCAGGAGCATGCTGGCACCACCTGCTGCTCCCCTCCCTGCCCCATCCAATCAGTGCAGCAAGAGGGCAGTCTTGGGGCTCCAGCAGAGCCTCCAGGTGCTCCCACTGCAGGTCAGCAATAAAGGCAGCCCTGCCCTGGCCTTCCGCCAGCCAGCAAGGACGTCACCTAACTCCCTCTCCTGCCCACTGACCTCCTTCTCTGCTCCCCGCCTCACCCGCTCTGCAAGACTGACTGACTCTGTGTGTCTCACCAGGCACCCGGGGACGGCCCTGCCCCAGCACCTACAAGGTCATATTGGGTCTCTGCACAAGACCTGCGGGTTCTTGAGTGGGAAGGGCCATTTCGCCCGGGGTCACTACAGGCCGGCACTAAATAGTTAAGCCTGCCTGGACAGCAGGAAAGGTAAGCGGGCCAAAGACAGCATGCCTGGGGGATGGTAGGCACCTGTGGCCACAGCTGTCACCCACCCGCCCTGGTTCCCCCTCCCCCAGACCCCAAGATAGCCTCCTGCTGAGGATACTCACCCCCCAACCTGGCAGGCAGTGTCCCTTGGGCCTGTGAGTAACTGATGGAAGGCGGGAGCCCAGGATGGCTGGAAGTGTCTCCTCACAATTGAGACCTGTGGAAAAAGTCTAGTATCCACCCCCCACCCCCACCCAATGAGGACTCACATATTTTTATCACACTAGCACTTGGTATAGGAGGCCTGGTTGCCTAGTGGTTACACATTGGGCTGCTAATCACAAGGTCGGCAGTTCGAAACCACTAGCCCCTACATGGACGAAAGAGGAGGCTCTCTATTCTTGGCGAGTTACCGTCTGGGAGACCCACAGGGGCAGTTCTCCTCCGCTGCCCTGTAGGATGCCTCTGAGCTGGCATCCACGCAATGGTAGCGAGTTTGGCTCGGGTCTTATCAGTTAGCGGTGCACAAACTTCAGAACAGGCACACACACTGGGTGAGGCAGCACCCACACGCCCGCAATCCAAGCAGATTTACAAACGGATTCCCACGAGGGCGGGGAAGAAGGTGTGGGTTAGCACAGAGTGGCTCTGGCGCTGTTCCCGCTGGGCGTCCCTGGCTGGTTCAGATTCACGATGAAATGCGGTGAAAATCCGTCCCTGAGGTCCTGGGCAAATTTTAAGCACTTAGCCTCCGTTCGCGCGCGGTGCGGTGACCGCAGACTGGGGCCGCTGTTTCCGCGTTCGGGCGAATGACATTTGGGTAAACTGAGTCAGCGGCGGGCTACGTGGCTCTGGATGCGCGGTGAAGGGTGCCCCTACCCACCTAGCTCCAGGTGACACCCACTCCCACCCCACCCCGACTCCGTCCACCACCTGCGAGCTTCCCGGCGCAAACCTGGGCGCCCCGCATCGGTGTCACCTACCGCCATCACGGGAAGTACCCCTGGCTCGGCTGGGTCGCCCCCTCCTTTTCAGCATGAGCCCAAAGCAAGCTGCAAGGGCTGGTCCCGCGGCGCGTGTGCGTGCTGGGTGGGGGGGTGGGGGGCGCCTGGTACCAGGCTGGGCATGAACCACACACAAAAGCTCGTGGAGGCCCACTCCCAGACGGCCCGGCCTCCGAGCGACCTTACGAAGAGAGGAAGCCTCCCCGGCTGCTGGTAGCGACTGGGCGCTGCACGGCGGGCGCGCGGGCGCGCGGGCCCCGGGG